CAAACCTGCAATAATTAAATGTTAAACAACACAAATATACTTTAACCAATGTCTTTGCTTCTGACCTTCGATGATCCAGTTCAACCGTACTAATAAGCAAAAATTACTCTAGACGAACATTTGTGTGTCTTTGTTTATTGCTGAAGTGTGTTGAAATGTCTTCTTCTGCATTCTACTGTACGGACGTAAATTTACTTTCCCTTAAGCCTGAGGCTTATTCATTTCACTTTTGGTGTGAAAAGGCTTTTATATTTGCCAAAAATATAACTTTTTTATTTTAAAAACAAACAAGCAAGCCCTGTCCAGATTTAAAAAGTAACGCAAAAGTAACGTAACACATTACTTTCCATAAAAAGTAACTAAGTAACGTAATTCGTTACTTTTTTATGGAGTAACGCAATATTGTAATGCATTACTTTTAAAAGTAACTTTCCCCAACACTGAGCATAATAATGCATTATAATTACTATTATAGGCCAATACCATAGACAATAAAATAAATAAAACAAAACTCTTGTTTGAGATTTATAGGATTAAACATAGCCAAGAAACATTCATTCAGGAGCCATTGTTGAAACTGATCTTTGTAAAGGTAAATAACGAATTCAGGAACTATTTTGATACCATTGTCAATAAAATGGTGATCCACTTCTAATACCCAATCCCACTTTCAACATTCATTTTCATGTAAAAGCTACAGCTGCACAGTCAGCAATTTAACAGTCAGAATTACTGTAAATGTTGATATTCAAACCTTATCATAGAACTCGCTAAGAGGGATCTATAAAGAGATGAATAAATGAGTGAATAAATAAATGAACAATTGAATAAATAATATGCTATGTTATGTTATGTCTTATTAATAACCAATGAATAAGACACACGCCACACTTCACATTTCAGCTGTTTTAGATTTGACGACTAGATGGCGCCAGACACTTGTTTGAAGGTTCGATTGTTGTCAGTTCGTCTCAGCTGCTGTCAAAAGATCACAAAAGAAGAGAGATTTACTTAATTTAGTAACTTTAGCTAATCTGGTTAGGTAATTATGATAATATTAAGCCGTTAAATCAAACCTGTTTCAATTTAAGTATAGGACTAACATTAGTTCGCATACGATCTCTAAAAGTGTGCCATGTTCTGTGACACAAGTCCTCATTTAGAGTTATTCTACGTTCGAAATTCAGCAAAGTATTTTGTTTGTTTTCTTATGCTTTTGACTAAGTATTCTTTTTCTTTTGATTGATTGGATTATCTCAATTCTCTTATGGTAGGCCTATGGTTAAACTGGGAAATCGAGCAGTAGGCTAAATGCAATTTTTAGTTACTAAATAAACATGTAGATTTGGAAATACTGTAACATCATCAGTTAATGTTAAAGGGGTCATATGATGCGATTTCAATTTTTCCTTTCTCTTTGAAGTGTTACAAGCTCTTGGTGCATAAAGAAGATCTGTAAAGTTGCAAAAACTAAAGTCTCAAATCCAAAGAGATATTCTTTATAAAAGTTAAGAGTCAACCACGCCCTCCTAAAACTCTCAAGCCCGCCCGCCTCCGCTCACTCAGGCCCGCCGGCACCCACTCACTCTAGCCCGCCGTGTGAAACTACTTTGTTTGGCCTTCCAAAAGAGGACACGACTAGAAATCAGTGGTTAAGTTATATTTACAACACTGTTCCAGAACAGTTCAACCCAAATTTTCAGATGTGTGCAGCACATTTTATGGAGGACTGTTTACTGATCCTGGTAGAGTAGACTACAATGCCGGCTGTTCTGACTCACAGACTGTAAGTACGTTTTCATTTTAAGGATTTGCCGCTGACGAGTCAAACGTGAGTTTTGGGCGGTGTAGAGTAGCGCTTGTTGTTTGTCATTTCTCCGATCACAAATGCAGACATGGTTTTATGTTTACGCGGCGCGATGCAACGCAACGCGAAAAAAAGACAGTATACGTCATTATAATCCATAATTATGTGGGGCTTTGACTGCCAAAATTGTCTATTATTTTTCACCAACATTGCATGCTAAATCCTTTGATAATTCTTATTGTTAACTTAGACGTAGTAGTAAGTTATATTATAGCACTTTTATAAAACTCTAAAAAAAAAAAGAAAACTCTAAATAAATAGCATTTCATATAAATAGCAAACAGACAGATTATAATAAATTACTCAACATGTGCACCTACCCACACAAAAACCAGCTTTAATATTCACATCAACCCTCCGTTACTGAAACACTTACAGACACTGATGTGATTCAACACTTTCTAAAAGAATCATTTGTTTTACACACACTTGAGTATCCACCCAGTCTGTTTCTTAACACAAAACTTGTACCATCAAATGTGCTCAACCAAGGCAGAGCATACTGATAACATATTGGCAATGTCAAGAAAACTCTGGGGGCCCATAATGGTCTCACAGCTCAATTTCAAATGTAGTTAACCTTAGAGGTCATTTATCACCCAGTGGGTCATGAGGGTTGAACAGTATTTACAACAGGACATGGAGACTTTCATCTGGGAATCAGTGGGATGTGTTTGAGGGGTTAACAATGAAAAGGACACTGGATATGTTTGAAATAGCATATACTATTACTACTTCTGAAGTATGTACACTGTGCACAGTATGCAACTTTTGAGTATGCTTAGAGATGATCTACTACATCTGTAAATTAGGCAGTATATTTGCTTAGTTATTATAATGCTGTCATAAAGTCCTCCTAGGAAGTTCTAATTTATGAGTTGGGAAGTTGTAACCATGATGTCAGGAGCTTTCAGATCACTTTGGTTGGAGCTAGATGGCCATGTACCTTTTCTACATGAAATTAAACAAGTTTTTCTTGTTCTACAGAAGAATGTTTGAACCGTATATATATTCTATCGTAATCGTTCAGTACCATGGTATTTTGTACATGCAACTTAGATAGTTTTATTCTAAATGGGGGAAAAAAAAGATTCGGATACTAAGTGCTTAAAGAAAATGTACCAGTTGTAATTACGACTTTGTGGTAACATTCATGTACGTTCAACTCATAAATACAATCTTTCCAACATGACTTAAGCCTGGCTCACACTACAGGATTTTTATCCCGATTTAGCCCCGATTTCCCGCCTCCCGAGAATCGGAGCAAAAATCATGTCGAGCACCTCGATCGGTTGCATGATAATCTTAATAATATCTTGTAGTGTGAGATGCGCCACAATGTTCAAATCTTGTAGTGTGTGCATGTTTAAGATTTGAGGGAAGATAATCTGCAAAGATTCTCATGTGTGTGCTGCAACCAGATTTCATAATCAGTTAAGGCGGGCGTACACGGTGCGATTTTTGCTGTCGTACGAGCTCGCAGGCGATTTTTTTCTCTCGGGAGAAAATCGCAGATGCTCGCATGGTGGCGGCTCGTACCGTGTGAGAAGAATTACGGGCCGATCCGAGACGTTACGAGCACCTCCCGTCCTTTTGAGGGAAGATAATCTGCAAAGATTCTCCTTATGCGTGTGCTGCAACCAGATTTAATAATCGGTTAGGATTTTAAAACTCCTGTAGTGTGAGCCCGGCTTTAAATGCACCATAACTTGATAGTTTATTTCCACTGATCGTCAATTTCCAGTCACTTTTAAACCAAGCTTTCTGTTAGTCAGCACGCTTGTTCAAATGAATCCCATGGATT